TATTTTAAACAGTTACTCATCAACCCAGGTGGGTGAAAAGAGAAAAGAAATTGATGATGAGGAATAATCAGTCTTTCTTCAGAAAAACTGTATTTACTCCTGTCCTCCTGTAAAGCTTCTATTTAAAATTAAATAGAAAGATTTTTGTTTTAGGTGGCAATTTTAACAGAAAAATCTCTTTTTCCTCATAAATTTACTCTTATTTAGTGATTTTGCAATTAAACGTGTATTATCCTTCAAGCAAAATGAGTAAACTATTCAACTCTGTGAATATTTGTAACTGTATCTGTCTTAAAAAGTTTCTAATTTTATTATGAACCTTTATAAGGAATTATCAGTGAATAAAATCTTTTTGGTAAATGCTTCTTTGCATAAATACCTTTACTTTTAAAAATGCAAGATAACAGTGTTTATTCAGCTTTGAGGAAGTTTTTTAACTCAAAAATGCCTTACAGAAAAATAAAAAGAACGTTTAATTTCACTATTTAGACCTAAAAAGCGAGTGAAACCTGTCTTCTCAAGTTTCGCCAGGAGATGTCAGTATAACCTCAACAAAATTTAACTCCGTCACTGTTTGTGTTGTCCACTAGGGGTGCTATGACTTCCTGTGGCGTTCGGTTGACATCCTGTTGTTAGCCGCTTAGCTTAAAGTTAGCTTCGGCTAAACTCGGTTAAAATCAACATTTCTGAACGGATTTTTTACACAAACGTGGCAAAAGTTTTGCAATCAGACTTTATAGCTTCAAACATGAGTTTTTGGAACAATATTGCAGCTTCATTTAGTGATTTTAAGCGTAGTTAAGGCTCCTTTCCGACATGGGGGAGTGACGTGGCACGTCATTCATCCAGTCGTTAGCTGTTAGCTTAAAATTAGCATCGCTAGCGTTGTTTAAAAACATCATTTTATGACGAATTTTAACTCTAACGTGGCAAAATGTCAGCGAATATGCTTCGAAGCTTTTAACCAGCGTGTCAAAAATCACTTTAGAGGCGTTTTTCAACTTTAAAAAGCAGATTTTATTTCCCTATGAAAACGAACTTTCATTTCCGGGTCACGTGACTGAAATCACCAATGACAGCAGCGCAGGGTTTGAGAGGAAGTTACGTAGGCACGTCAATCCACCTTCTCAGCAAATCAGAGCGCTCCACACAGCAATTTCCAACCAATCACGAAGCGTTTTCTCCAACTAGCAAGTTAGATTAGCGTGAACTAGTTCGTCACTTTTTCGTCTTTTAAACCATCAAAATGCACTTTTTCTGTTAAAAATTGTAACGAAACAACTCCTAACTGTGTCCTGAGACGGCGCTCAGCTTTTAAAACGTTTATCCATCTATTCAAAATACTCGTTCAAACTGAACAGAACCGAACCCACAGCCGGGTCTTAGCAGAACCTCGTACTTTTAAACAGAATAACGTCTTCCACAGCTCATCAGCTCTTAGTTACACGTAACAGACGTACAATTTCAGCTTACACAAGACTTAATGACACAATTTCAGCTCTTAAAACATTGCCAGCGTAACACAGCGTAAAGTTGCAGAGCCGAGCTCCAAGCGCGCAGCCCAGCCGCTGCGTTAACATTCACAGCTGATAAACCGTTATTTTTTCAACATGCCAACACGTAAATCAATCTTACACGTTCTTACAGTCATTTATGAGCCGTGCGAGCCACCAGTTTGTAGTAAACAGAATAAAGCGTTTTACGGCACACTGTTTATATTAATTTGGTGGAATAGTGTAAAGCAATAACAGTGATTAGTTTCACAGAAAATGAACTTCAAATCACTCGGCGGTGATTTGAGGACTTTGCTTCAGATATTTCTAAAATATCTGTACTAGTTTTGTGAGAGAGAAAAGAGTTTAAGATGAAATGGAGATTATCTTACAGAGAATTATGTGAGGGAATTTAATCTGTTTGACCAGAAATTGCACGCTCCGTCAGGTATCTCAGCTTGTCCCAGGTACACTTTAGTCGAAGAAGAAACCGTTACCTTGTTGACGATCGATCACCTCAGTAAGAATCCTTTTCAACTGATATCAGCGTCTCCGTTGAGAACAGCTAAAATCCTTGGAGAGTCGTGCGTGGTCGTTCAAACAGAAATTATAATTCCAAACGTCTCTGGATCATCCTGAATTCTCGAATTCTCTTCAGAACTCCTTGAGCACTACATGAGAACTTTTTCATTCTCTATTCCAACTCTCTCTGAGAACTTTTCCATTCTATGGAATCTACTGCACACTGCCAGAACCGGGAAGTTGTCACATTTTAAATGAGTTTACTTCCGAGTTTACTTCAGAGCTTTCTGATTCGTGGATGGACCAGAAAGAGGAGTGGTTTTTTTGACGTAAGTTATTATCAAAAGTCAAGGATTGTTTTCAACATACAGAACAGATTATTGCAGTCGACCAGACTTCGTGGAGTCTCACACTTGGTAATCTTTTCAAATAGTAAAACATGACATCCCATTTTCAGTAAACATTTAGTTGACCGAAAACCAACCTTTCACATACTTACGAGCTTAGCTCATTTCAGACAGAGAATCAAGAAATGCATATTAACCTGATTTCTCCTTTGAATGAGGAATAAAATCATTACTTACTGTTTATGTAAAATAAAAATGAGTAGTTCTTTCCAACCTGTAAGCATTGAGTGAAACTAACACAATTTGATTATCAAACATTTGTAAAACAGTAATGATTATAGAGGATTGTCTTTTCTGCTTGATTAATTCAAGAAAGAAAGTCATCAGATGGCTCAGACTTATTCAGATCAATGAAAATAACAGTCTCTGTCCATCTGGTAGATTTGAGGTCAGATAAGGGTCAGATCAGGTTCACTACATTTAGCTTTTTCAGCTAATTTCACATTTTTTTTTAGCTCATTTCAGCCCCTTCCACTTCCTTCTGGTAGTTTAAGCTTCTTTTTGCCTTTTCAGCTACTTTTTTTTTTAGCTATTTTAGCCATTTTCAGCTTTTTTTAAATTTTTTTTTTTAGCTAATTTCCTCATTTGTGTGCTCATTTCTGGTTATTGAAACACATTCAGCAAACATGTTTTTTCTGCTTTCTTCTGCCAATTAAGTCTTGTTCTTCCATTTTAGCTAATTTCACTTGTTTTTTCAGCAAGTTCTTCAGCAAAAAGCATTCACACTGCATTTTCACAGGAAATGCAATTTCTCTAGTTGCCCCTTGGCTTGAACCCTGGACTGTCAATTTGGATGAATGACCAAATTGTCCAAAGTCACAAGTAAAAAAGCACAAAGTAAAAAAAAACAAAAACAAACAAGAAACCAGTTGTGTGAAAACTGACACAGCATTTACAAAATGCAATTCAGATTTTTGTAGAATGTACAAACCGGATTCCAAAAAAGTTGGGACACTAAACAAATTGTGAATAAAAACTGAATGCAATGATGTGGAGATGGCAAATGTCAATATTTTATTCGTAATTTAACATAAATGACAGATCAAAAGTTTAATCTGAGTAAATGTAACATTTTAAAGGAAAAATATGTTGATTCAAAATTTCACAGTGTCAACAAATCCCAAAAAAGTTGGGACAAGTAGCAACAAGTGGCTGGAAAAAGGAAATTGAGCATATAACAAACAGTTGGAAGACCAATTAACACTAATTAGGTCAATTGACAACATGATTGGGTATAAAAAGAGCTTCTCAGAGTGTCAGTGTTTCTCAGAAGCCAAGATGGTAAGAGGATCACCAATTCCACCATTGTTGCGCAGAAAGATAGTGCAGCAATACCAGAATGGTGTTACCCAGCGTAAAATAGCAAAGACTTTTAAGTTATCATCATCAACCGTGCATAACATCATCAAAAGATTCAGAGAATCTGGAACAATCGCTGTGCGTAAGGGTCAAGGCCGTAAAACTCTACTGGATGCTCATGATCTCCGGGCCCTTAAACATCACTGCACCTCAAACAGAAATGCCACTGTCAAGGAAATAACAGAATGGGCTCAGGAATACTTCCAGAAAGCATTGTCAGTGAACACAATCCACCGTGCCATCCGCCATTGCCAGCTGAAACTCTACAGTGCAAAGAGGAAGCCATTTCTAAGCAAGCTCCACAAGCTCAGACGTTTGCACTGGGCCAGGGGTCATTTAAAATGGAGTGTGGCAAAATGGAAGACTGTTCTGTGGTCAGATGAGTCACGATTTGAAGTTCTTTATGGAACACTAGGACGCCATGTCATCCGGACCAGAGAGGACAAGGATAGCCCAAGTTGTTATCAACGCTCCGTTCAGAAGCCTGCATCACTGATGGCATGGGGTTGCATGAGCGCTTGTGGCATGGGCAGCTTGCATGTCTGGAAAGGCACCATTAATGCAGAGAACTATGTTCAGGTTCTAGAACAACATATGCTCCCATCTAGACGTCATCTCTTTCAGGGAAGACCCTGCATTTTTCAACATGATAATGCCAGACCACATTCTGCAGCAATCACAACATCATGGCTACGTAGGAGAAGGATCCGGGTACTGAAATGGCCAGCCTGCAGTCCAGATCTTTCACCTATAGAGAACATTTGGCGCATCATAAAGAGGAAGGTGCGACAAAGAAGGCCCAAGACAATTGAACAGTTAGAGGTCTGTATTAGACATGAATGGGAGAGCATTCCTATTTCTAAACTTGAGAAACTGGTCTCCTCAGTCCCCAGATGTCTGTTGAGTGTTGTAAGAAGAAGGAGAGATGCCACACAGTGGTAAAAATGGACTTGTCCCAACTTTTTGGGGATTTGTTGACGCCATGAAATTAGGAAACAACAGATTTTTCCCTTAAAATGATACATTCTCTCAGTTTAAACTTTTGATCTGTGATTTGTGTTCTATTCTGAATAAAAATATTAGATGTTGACACCTCCACATCATTGCATTCAGTTTTTATTCACAATTTGTTTAGTGTCCCAACTTTTTTAGAATCCGGTGTGTAGGTAGAATGTGGTTAATCTTGAAAAGAAGCTGAACAGAAGGAAGACAGGGATACCATGATGGGTTTGAGGGGATGGTATTCTCCAAAGTCCAGTGGAACGGCCTCAGTACGACCCCGCTGCAGCTCTGCACCATAGTTACGTCCACGGGAATGCCTGCTTACACAACAGACGGGGGGGGGGGGGGGGTGTTAACGAAAACACCTTTCATTCACGCACCACACCAACATTTCATAACTGTCCCCATTTAAAATTTTGAGCTCACTTTAATCCCTGGTAGAAGGTCTGGTGACATTTCTTATGCCTAGATGCAACAATACACTAAAATGGGTAAGTTGCTTATTTTTCCAAGTTATTCAACTCACAAGGTTTACATATATACATATAAGGTGGCAGCCATCTTGAATTTTGACATGGCAACCCAGTTTATGATAGGGACACTTTTTATAGATGTAGCCACAAAAAATGGAAGTCAGTGTGTCTCTTATTTTCAGATTATTGTGCTCTAAAAATGGATGTGCAAACGGAGGGTATTTCCAATTCCTCCTCTTGGCTCCACAACAGAAGACAAAGTACCTCAGTGAAACATCATCTATGCAATCACCTGTTGGAGCTGCAGTGTTTGTCCACCAGATGTGGCTTCACTTCCACAGCTGCAGACAATTCTCTAATGAGCTCCCAGGTGTATATAAGGCTGAGAAGGGCTCTCATCTGACGCTGGAGCATTGCCTTGCTTATGGTTTGTGCTCTCAGCCTCCTTGTACCTTTCCTGAGCCTTGTGTATTTTATAATAATGCTTGTGATTACTCTTCCAGTGAAACTGCCTGAGTTCTTCCAGTGAAACCTGGATCAATACCAAACACTTGGATTCTTGTCTACGCCCCATCAGCTGTTCTCCTGTGCCTCCTACTACGTGCTCTCTAGTGCCAACACCACCAACCAGGATCCTGTCTAGTTCTAGATATTACCCCACTGTAAATAAAAGCGCTCTCTCTCTTTCTCTCTCTCTTTCTCTCTCTCCTGCTTGCTCTCTTTCGGCTTGTGAACTCTTAAAGAGCCTATTTTTTCCCCTGCATACCTTCCTAATTCGAAGGATTTGATCAGCTGGTCTCTCAACAAAATTGATCAACTTCTCCCGACAGGAGTCAGGGTAAGGAGGACCCTCTTACCTCGACGGAAACAAATTGGATTCATGATAACAACTGGTTATTTTACTGTTTGGCTGGTGAATTCTGGATCGTCTACAAATTCGTGTGGATGTGTCGAAGCTTGGCAGCACTCAGACTGAATTATGTGCAGCTGCGTCAGAGCTGGAGCAGCTGTTATCAGGACTGTGAACTTTCTGGCAGCACCCATGAATGGTTGGGAATAATCTTGGAGAAGGTGTGAGCTCGACTTTCAGCGTAAGGAATCAATTCGGCTGTTTGGAGTTTCTATCAGAGAAAAGTACCAGCGAGACTTTTAAAAGGCAGAAACAGCAATTCACGAGTCCTGCCTGACCCAAACTGTGGCCTTGACAGCAGACTTATCTCAACTCCTCCTGGCATGTTTAGAAAAAAACAAAGATGCTTTGTCTGTCTCCTCACCCCTCCCTTCCTCAAGGCTGTGGACATGTGACGGAACCTCAATCGAGCTGATGATAAATAACACCTCTTATCTGGACAATGGCTGGGGGGGTGTTCTGGACTATGCTACGACTTTCCCTTAAAATTCAATGTCTTCACCGGCCTATATGTACATGTATAACATCTGTTTATGTTGCTTTGCTGTGGTAGGTTTTTTTGGATGCCTCAAATTATGCCCTGTTTAAGACACGGTGTGAGAGATCTTTTTTTTATACCGTCTCTCCTCATGTTTTCTTCCCTTTTCTCATCTAAGTAAAAATATTATTCTGAAGAAGAATAAGAGGGCCACACTAATTAGCAGCTGCTTTGTGCACTACGTCCATCTTTCAGACGACTGTATGCACATGTTCTTGTTGTATCTCGGTGCAATAATAATAAAGTTTATTCTGATTCTGAAATGATCTCCTTGTGTAAGAGTGTTCATTCTCAGTTCCTTTCAACTCTGGGTATTCAGATTTTGTGACATCACCACAAAATAAAAACAAATAAATCACATATATTTTGTCTTTCTTATTCCCTACAAGCCTAAAATTGTGGCAGTTTAAATTTAAAATACTTTTTCCAACATTACATTTTTCACCCACCTCAAGTGGAGTTTAATAATAAAATTCTGGGTCTCCTTTCCTGATGTATCCACCTGAACTACATCACTAAAATTAGAAACATCTTATACCAAAATTTTGCTAAAAAACTGACCAATACATTTATCACTTTTGGCCTGGACTATTGTAATTCTTTATGTGGTTGTCTAAAAAACTCTTCAGCTGATCCAGTATGTTACTGCTATAGTTCTGTAAGAGTTAGGAGAGACCAGATTTTTCAAGTTTTATCTTACATTGACAGAGTGAGATGAAGGAGGATGACTCACTGTGACCACCCCTGAAGAGGGAAAAGTTGAAAAAGAAAAAAAGAGGAGGAATTCCCCAGTGCAACCAGGTGCAAAAGGGGTCTTCTTCAGTGACCTCCGGATTACGACTGTTATTTGCTGATGACGTGGTTTTATTGAGGTCAATGGCCGTGATCATCAGTTCTAACTAGAATGGTGTGCAACTTGGTGTGAAGCAGCTGGGATGAGGATCGACACCTCTAAATCTGAGGCTGTGGGAAGGTTGGGAAACAAATGTTAAGGGTACCATCTTTTTGTTGAGGCCAGTTTCATTTTTTCTTCTCATTTTGTTGAATTGGATTTCCAAATCAATTACTGGTTGTCATATGTTGTTTTTGTCCCCTATGAGTGAGGGAATTGGAAATACCCACTGTCCATCCGTGAATGTTGCGAGTACAATAATTTGAAAAATAAGTGAGGGACCAACTTCAACTTTGGTCTGTCACTGCATCTAGGGGTAAGGAAAGTTAAAATAAAAAATTGGGTTGCCATGTCAAAATCCAAGATGGCCACTCCATTCATTATTTTTACCCTCTTCTTTCTTTTCGGGTCGCCGGTGCCCATATCCAGCCATCACTGTGAGAGAGGCGGGGGACACCCTGGACAGGTCTCCAGTCCATCACAGGGACACATAGAGACAAACAACCATTCACTCTCTCACTCACACCTAGGGACAATTTAGAGTTACCAATCAGTCTAATATGCATGTTTTTGGAAATGTGGGAGGAAACTGGAGTACCTGAAGAAAATACACGTATGCATGGAGAGAACATGCAAACTTCACCCAGAAAGGCCCCCGGCCAGGATATAAACCAGCAACCTGCTTTCGGCAGCTTTACCAACTGTACTACTCTGCCGCCTCAAGATGGCCACCATCATATATAAATATAAACTGGCCACCTCAATCATTTGTGGAAAATATTAACTTTAGTTTTTATATTGCTTAAAAGTTTAGTTTGTCAGTTTAGTTTTAGTATTTTTGCTGCATGCTTTGATATTTTTTGCTGTTTTTTTTTTGTTACTAAGTTGAGATGGTTCTTCTCATCCTAAGCATTTCATTGCATTGATCTTATGTTGATTTTGCATATGACAAATAAACCTAACCTTGTTTCCTCAAATGATGGGGGTGGCTAACGCCTAAATCTATGGTTCGCCACCATGAGTGAGGGAACTGGAAATACCCACTGTCTGCATGTGCATGTTGTGAGCACAATAATTTGAAAAATAACTTCAATTTTGGTGTGTCACCACCTTCAACTTCGCCACCAAGCAACATTGTGCTTGGTCGTCGATAAAATTGCTCACCAATCTTGCTAAAATATGTCACTCTGTGCTTGCCTTGAACAAGAAAAAAATAAAAATAAAAAAATAATATATATATATATATTTTTTTTTTTTTAACTACCCCTGTTCTTCTCCACAGAGTAACTCATGCCTACTTGAATATCTTGCACCAAAAACATTAAGGTTGACTTGCGCTCATTGTCCAATTACAGTCCAGAAATTCATGAAAACTAAAAACGTTCACTGTTCAAATTCCTCAGCAATGGGCAGTGTGTAAATTATCTTACACACATATTTTCTGTACATCTAAGCATTCAATCTTTATTTATACAGGCTAGTCTCATTGAGCCTTGAGGACTCATTTACAAGAGAGATCTGAACTAAGTGAACTCAGTTTAAGATGGCCACCACAGCTCATCAACCTTAGACAAAATAAAATGACTGTGACTCAGTGACTCGTCAGTTTGACAGATACTGAGCTGAAATGTGTAATAAAGTAACAGAGCATTCCACAGCACTTCCTCCGAGCACCAACAGAATATATTAGATCACACAATGGCAATTTCAAGGTTTTACCAAATTATTATCACTCCATCATTTCTCATCAAATGAACATCTTAATCTAAAACTCAGGCATGAAAAGCAGCAATGTTATCTAAGAAATATAAGCCCTTTAAGAATTTTTTTAACCTTTACTACAAAACTGATCCGGATTTATGCAAGTTACTGTATTTCAAACTTACAATACAATCACATTTAGCAAAATTTGAATTGTACCTAACAATAAAAAATTGTCAGCCTATGAAATGTCTAAATTTGCATCATAACCCTTATTAGACAAAACCGAGAGGATTTTAGTTGGAAAAGCAACAAAACAAGTAATTAAACTAGTAGTTCACGTTTATTTTTGGTCAGTATTTTATAATTCATCGTGCATTTTGCTTTGCATTTAGGTTCTGACACGTTTCAAAATAACAATTCAACGATAATGTAACTGGTTACAGTTAATAGTAATAAAAAAGTTCATGACGAGGAAAACATCTTACCAGACCACGGCAGCCATGTTTCTTTTTATATCACATGACACATAGCGGAACTTCCGGGTTAACATAAACTCGTTGCTTATTGCGTTTAATCCGACGGCTTGTTTTAATATACTGCAGAAAAAATATCGGTAATTTGTTAAAAAAAAACGTAGTAATATTTCATATTATTAACAGTGACAGTAAAAGTGCAATTAAGGTGTTTTTAATTTACCACAAATTACTATTTCCCCATGATGCATTATATCCCATGATGCATTGCGCACTATAATTTCTATCACAGAGCGAAGGAAAAAAATGAAGGTTTCTTATGAGTAACAGTGCGCTCACGTAGTTTAACACGTAGTTTAACCAAGGATTTGTTCCAAACACTTGTAAATGGGCGTTGACTAATACCGCTAAATGCCATAAACCGCTTCTTGTTTTGTTTTTCAGCGCTAATACAATCGACGCTCAGCCTTTAGTGGATAGTGACTTGTCTGTAAAATAGACGAGCTTTGTCAGAAACGCCGCTTCGGTTTTTCGTCAGTCCAGTTAAAAAGCCTCCAGGGGGACCATGACCTGACCGTGGACCTCCAGCGGGGTCTGCTCAGATCTCCACACCAGGTACAGCCAGTTCCTGTCAGGACTGGGTTTTAGAGATGCTTTGTAATTTGTTTACTGAGTTTGAATGTAGCTAGCAGCTAGCATGCTCGTGTTAAAAATGTACCTGATCGAAGAAAAATGTAATCGATTAAATTGGATGAGACTTGATGAGTTTGTACTTTGAACTACTTCATTGTGATTTTTAAAATTTATTTAATTGTTTGGTTTTCTTGGTTTGCCCAGAAAAACTATTGTTTGAAATAATCAGGAAATGCACAGACACAGATTAAATTTAAGAAAAACAAAACCCCAAGAACGTCACTGATTTTATTTATTTATTTATTTATTACAAAAAAAATAAAAATAAAAAGCCACCTAATGAAAATCAATCAATGCTCTTGAATTTTGGCAAACTTGATTAAAGCAAAAAGTCTGAAACAGTCGATGTAGAAAGGTAAGCCAGTGTTGTAAAAAAAAAGTTTGGTTGTAGCAGGAGCGCACACAACCTGTTTAAGTGCGTTTCCATTTGATTTGCTGGTTTTTTCTTCTTTAGTTCTTGAATTTAATACTAAAAGATGAATATTTGTGTGTCCAAGATTATAGTAAAGATGTCTCCATTTAATGTTTTTATTTTTTCTCCCCCCCAAAACTTAGTGTTCTCTCTGTGAGAGTGTTGGTTTCTAATGTTTAGAGTTTGTAATAAATATCTGCAACTCTAAATTGTCCCTAGGTGTGAGTGAGAGAGTGAATGTTTGTTTGTCTCGTTTGTCTCTTTGTGTCCCTGTGATGGACTGGAGACCCGTCCAGGGTGTACCCCGCCCCTCGCACAGTGATTGCTGGACATGGGCACCAGTGACCCCCGTGACCCAAAATGGAATAAGCGAGTAAAGATAATGGATGGATGGATGGATAAATATCTGCTATCTTCAGTTTTAGTTTTTATATATTAAATATTAGAATCATACTCGTATATAACTGTTCTATTGTAATTGTATTTTGATAAATGATCAAATTTGAACATTAAATGGTATTACATGACTACAGACCCTTTCCAAAAAATTAGAATATCATGGAAAAGTTGTTTAACTTCCATAACTCCATTCTAAAAGTTAGTATTTAATAGATGATAGATTCAGGGCTCACAATTTAAAATATTTATTTGTTTATTTTTACAAAATTTGGGCTTCCATCTCATGAAACCCACAAAAACAGGATTTCAAAAAATTAGAATACTGTGAAGACATCAGCCCTCACTACTTCTCAGTTTTTTGCAGAAAAAAAAGAAATAAATCAGGATCACAACAAATCAATCAAAATATGGTACTTTCAAAATGATTTGTCAATCTTCAATACTTGGTTGTGAATCCCTTTGCCTTAATCACTGCCTCGATGCGACGTGGCATTGAGTCAATTAGCCTGTGTCATTGACTGGGAGTTAGGGGTTCGAATCCACCAGCAGTCACATGCTGAAGTGTCCCTGGGCAAGACACTGAACCCCTCATAGCCTCTGATGTGTGTCCCATCAGTGTATGAATGTGATGTAAAAGCACTGATTAGTCTCTTTAGAATGATTTGTTCAATTAGCTTTGTATAGATCTAGTAGAGTGCTGTATGAATGGGTAAATGAGGCACAGATTGTAGTGTAAAGCGCTTTGAGTGTCTTGAAAAAAGATAGAAAGGCGTTCTATAAGTACAGTCCATTTACCATTTACCTCATAACACTGGTAAATAAATAAAGATAAGTTCATTTTTACTCTGCAAAGGACTTCCTGTGCAATAATTTTTATAAATACACTGGACAGTCCCTCAGTTGAAACACTGAAATGACAAAAATAAACTACAAAAAAGTTGTTCAAAACCCCTCTCCTCCTACAGAAACCGTTTGCTGCCTTTATTTTTTTAAGGTTGCCTACAACGCCAGCACAAATTTTTCACAGACAACCTGATGTTGTTGTCCTCTGGACATCCTGGAAAATTTCCTTATATCTACCCCTAAATAAAATGCACCAGTGTTCTTTGAATTTCAATAACATACGCCTGCCCAGACCATAACCCTACCACCATCATGGACCACTCAGTTCACAATGTTGACGACATACAACTGGTGAATTCTTCTTGTGATGGTGTGCAGTGAGGGAGGCTCATACTTGTAGCGGTTCTAGTCACACAGACCAGCATCTTCCTCAGCGTTAACTGGCCTTTTTTTAATTAAAAGCTTTGAGTGAAAAATGCTAGAGTTCAAACCACACTGTGTGTCCGCCATTTTGAGAATCGAAAAACAGGAACGAGAGATGGCCCTAAATTTGACAATAATTACTAATTATAGGTAGTTTACTAATTACTAATTATTGTCAAATTTCAAACAATATTATCGTAATAATTTCTGAGACAATTAATCGCCCAGTAAAATTTGTTATCGTGACAGGCCTAATGTTCAGTCAGGTCATCTGGACGGTTTCGTATGTTGCTGAGACGTTTCAGATATGTCAGTGTTGGGGACATCAGTACCTTTTGTTATACACTGTAGGAATCAAAAAGTTACCAAAAACTAACAAAAATAAAAAAAGTTCATGCTCAATAATCCAGGTATACAATCCAACAATTTTCAGTCAAGTCATCTGGACAGTTTCTTTTTGTGCTGAAACGTTTCACCTTCCATCCAGAAGGCTTCATCAGTCAAGGAAACACACAACACAAAACTGATTCTTCCCCCAAACAGCTTACTCCAAAGTGGTACAAACCAGTTATATTGGTGCTAAGATGGTGTCTTTGGCACGCCCCCTCCTCTTGTGCTGGCCCTCTTCCTCGTCGACAGTCATGTCAAACTGGTTCAAAACCAAAAAAGGTCCATGCTCAATAATCCAGGTATACAATCCAACAATTTTTAGTAAGGTCATCTGGACCGTTTTTTTTTTTTTTTTTTTCTGAAACGTTTCACCTTCCATCCGGAAGGCTTCACCAGAAACTGTTTCATTAAAATTTTTGCTTTGTTTCCGTAAGTTACATTATTGTCACAATATATGACAACAAACGCTCCCTGCACAGTCAGTCACCAGACTTTGGGTTTTAATGTTCATGCCAGAGCTTACCAAATCAGTCCAACTGAATGTCTTTTGGAAGGTGAAGAAAGAAAGGCGAGTTGAAGTTTCATGTCTGTTTTCACAATTAATTACAACACACTGAACCAGCACAGTGGCACAGTGGGTAGAGCTGCTGCTTCTCAGCGAGCAGGTGACCGGTTCAAATCCCAGCCGGGGACCTATCTTGGTGAAGTTTGCATGTTCTCTCCGTGCATGCGTGGGTTTTCTCCAGGTACTCTGGTTTCCTCCCACAGATTAAAAACATGCATGTTAGACTGATTGGTAACTGTAAATTTTCCCTAGATGAGAGAGAGAGTGAATGGTTGTTTGTCTCTGTGTCCCTGTGATGGACTGGAGACCTGTCCAGTATGTCCCCCACATCTTGCACACGGATGGCTGGACATGGACACCAGTGACCTGAAAAGGAAGAAGCGTGTAAAAATAATGGATTTTTTTTTTAATGTGAGACTCTGAAAACATTAATCTTTTATGAATTTCATTTGACTTCTCTTCTAAACTTGATTTGCTTGACCTTGAGTTGAGAAACCCTCACAAATTAGATTCAAAATATATTTTAAAACACAAGAAAATATGTCCAGTTGTATTTTTTAACTTTTAAAAACAGAAGTATTTATAGAACTGTAGTCTTACAACTGTTGAGCGTGTAGTTTGTTGGTTGTCCTCCTCTAAATGATTTGTGTTGCCAATAAATAATTAATCAAATTTATTGAGGGGGAAATGCCCATATCCAATCATTCCAAATGAGCATGCAGATAAAACTGCATCATTGTACCAACTCACATTTACATTCAGTGTCAAAAAGGCCTCATTATAATATTAATTAAAAAAAACTGAAAATGTATGTGTTGGAAAATAAAACTATGTTGGACTCTTCCTGTCTTCAGAAGAATCGTCACAGCTGTAGTTTAGAGTGAGACGCTCGTCTCGGTCCCTGTCTTTCATCTCGTTAATGCCTAGCTGTTTTGGAGACGTCTCATCCGTGTAACCGACACCAGGTTTGATAAAAATGATGCTTGAGGATCAGATGGCGACTTTTATTTCCTTCTGAAGGCACTGATGCATTACAGGATTGCTGCTCTGCTTCTCCATTTCTCCGAAGTTTTTGGCCTGAAGCTCTGGCTTGGCTCTGAATTATTAAGAGGAGTTGGTCTTTGGGGTCTGATGAGCCCAGCTTGGTACCTGATAGCTCTGGTCCTCATTAGCTGTGATGGACAGATGTCCCAGATGGAATGCTGTCACCACACTTCAGTGCTTTCCCAAAAAGTAAAAGCTTTCCTTTGCGATGTGTCCTGACTCCTGGTGGTTACCAGAACCTCTCAGTTCATCTCGTCCTTTAGGAGGTGACGATGGAGGACTTGGTTGTGAACATGCTTCGCTACGAGGAGCTGCTTTTTTACACCGCCTGCCTTTCTAACTGTTGGTCTCTGTGTCTGTGTGTGTGCGTATGTCTGGAGGGCAGAGTGTTTCGAAGGGGCGGCGGCAGAATCGTGCGTATGGGCAGCAGCTGGAGGCACCTGTCCCGGTCCATGCGGCTGGTGCTGCGCTGGTGCTGGCAGCAGAGAGGAGGTCGAGGTGGGCGCAGCAGAGCACAGATCAGTGGCAGCTTGTTGGAGCTGTGGAGTTACAGCAAACTGTTGCTTCAGTCTTTGTGTTACAACAGCCTCGCTGACTCCGACACTCTGCTGGACTGTGTGTTCGAGCCTGTTATCTGGACTGTGGACAGTATTACTCGATGGTTTGGAGTGGTGAGAACTCTCATCCACGTTATTCCTTCTCTTTGACGTTCTGCCTCTTTTCAACTCTCGCTTCTCTTGTCTGAATTTTCCAGGCGTTTGTCAGCCTAGTTATCCTGCTGACATCTTCTGTTGTGATCATTGTCCACCTGTTTGTCATACCCAAAATCATCAGCACTTACCCTGTGCACTGGACTGTTTGGCATCTCGGCTGTGGCCATTGGCTTCTGCTCATGGTGACCTTCCATTACTACAAGGCCACCGTCACCTCCCCTGGACACCCACCCAAGGTACCTCATATTCTTGGTTTGCCATTCTGCTACATGTCTTGTTATAGTCTATATTCAAGCCCACTTCCATAAAAGTTTGGTGGTTATATTACTTGTAAATACAAATAGAAAGCAACGATTTGCAAATTTCATAATTTAATTTCTTCATTCACAATGAAATATGACTGCACAGTATTCTCAAAAATGTGTCATCATTGCACAATGAGTCAGTGCAATATAACTATCACAAAGGACCACAATAAATCATAGGTTAATGTAGATTTAAATATTCACAGTATTTCTCAGAATATATTTGTTCAGTCCATCATATTTGCTGGTCTTGATGTGGATTTATTGGAATTTATATTACCATTGAAATAATATCCTGCATCACATGGTGTCTTAATAATATGCATCCCTAGAACATAGTAAATATATCAAACATTGAAACAAAAGAAAATGACTATTTTTAGGAAAGTATACAGCTAAAAAAAGAGCATAGGCAACAAAAAGCTGTTTAAGTAAATTAACAGCTGGAGAAACATTTGGCAGCTAATTTGGTTTACTGGCAACAGGTCAGTACTGGGAATGACAAAATGGTATGCCTTTGTCCTGTGTTGCTGAGGGAATTCAATAGTATAGTGGTGCTTGAACATTTCTGAACCCTTTATAATAAGACCTAAAACATCATCAGATTTTCACTCAAGTCATAAAAGTAGATAAAGAGAACCCAGTTAAACAAATGAGACAAATAGATTAGTGGTGTAATGGTACAACTGGGTGCATTGAACTGTTTCAATCAATCAATCAATTCAACTTTATTGTCCATAACATTCAATGAAATGGAGATTTGTCTTTGACATCTGGCTTATAAAAACAAAATAAAAATGTGATTAAAAAACTTTAAAACCAAACTTTGCTAAATCAATTAAAAACATGCAGTTAAAACCAGTCTAAAATACACGATACATTAAAATATGGAAACATTCCAGCAGACAGTGGTTTGTTATGTGAGGCTGCGTTTAAATAGAACCTTGTTAAGTACATTCACCGCAGAGGGAACAAATGACTTTTTTTACCCAATTTTCTTTGCTAAAGGAACCAGCAGTCTTCTACCAGATGGTACCAACCTGAATAATGGTTGCAGTGGATTAGTTATGTAATTGTAAACCTGTATTGCCTTTTTTTTCAGAACCTGACTGTACAGGTCTGTGTCATTTGTTGATGACCAATGACTTTGCTACCTTGTTTGATCACCCGGGACAACTTGTTCCTGTCTCTGGCTACGAGGTTCCCATACCATGAGACAATACTAATTGAAACAACACTTTCAACCAGTGACCTGTACACCAACTGCAAAGTAATTTTGCTTGCATTAAAGCTCCTTAGCTTATACAGAAGGTGGAGACGCTGTCTGGCTTTTTTTGTAAATATAGTCAGTGTTGGGCTCAAAGGTCAACTTGTTGTCAATTATTGTTTCAAGGTATTTAAAATCAGTCACCTGTTCTACTTCCTGCCCTTTTATAATAGAAGGCCTAAATGTAGGTCTGGTGCTGGCTGCTCCCCATCTACCTCCCAAACAAAGTTCCTTGGTTTTACTGGCATTAAGGGCCAGGAAACTGTCATCAAACCAGGCAGAGAGCTGATCTATGAGCTGGGAGTAGGAGGGACTGTTGGTGTCTTTCAGACCAGCAACTAGGGCAATGTCATCAGCATACTTAATTAATGTGAAATCTTTACTGTTGCGTTGCAACTCATTTGTGTATATAGAGAAGAAAAGAGGCAATAGCACGCAACCCTGTGGAACACCAGTGTTCAAGACCCTACAGTCAGATAGTGTTATCAACACAAACTCGCTGGGGTCTTCCTCTTAAAAAATTGCTAATCCACAACACAAGATGGCTGCTGACATTTAGATCACACAGGCGCTTTAGAAGTATATGTGGCTGAACCGTATTAAAAGCTGATGAAAAGTCCATGAATAATATGTGAACATATGTCTTTGGGTTGTTTAAATGATTATGGACCTTGTTAAGGAGGGAGAGAGTGGCATCCTCCACCCCTCGGTTAGTCCTATATGCAAACTGCATGGGATCCATATGCTCAGCTGTAACAGACATGAGTTCCCTGCTCTCTAAGCGCTCCGTACATTTGCATAATACAGATGTGAGGGCAATTGGGCTGAAGTCATTCAGTGTCTTAGCTTTGTGTTATTTTGGGCACCGGGACAATAGTTGACATTTTCTATGCTTGTGGGACAAAGCTAGTGTTAAGGAACAACTCAAATATCTGTTTGAACACAGGACCCAGCTGTGTGGCACATTCTTTTAATACCCTTCCTTTACTCCCATCTGGCCCAGCTGCTTTATGAGGATTGATGTTCTGAAAAATTGAAATTACCTCTTTCTCCTGTAATTCCACAGGAGTTGGTGTCAAGGCTGCACAGAAAGAGTCAATCTCATCACTGAAGTCGTGGATGTCAAATCTTGAATAATGAACATTTAGTTTATTTGCAAGACCAAAAGGGTTGGTGTGCTGAAAGGAATCTTTGTTTCCTTCCTCCCCATTATTGTGTTCAGTCCCCTCCAGGCATCTCTTGCATTGCCATTACTCAGTTCCCTCTCAACTTTATCTTTATAATTTATTTTAACTTTCTTAATCATGCAACTTATTTCCTTCTCTAGTTCCCTCATCCTTTGCACGTCTCCTCCTTTAAAAGCTGCTTTCTTTTGGTTTAAAAGATGCTTCATTTCTTTATTGACCCAAGGTTTATTATTAGGGTAAAATCTAACTGATTTTGTTTTGATAATATTGTCCACACAAAATTTAATGTAACTGGTGATGGTAAAATTCAGCAGTTCAGAGATTTCAGCAGAGACCTCCTCACTGAAGAACATGCTCCAGTCAGTCAGTTCAAAACAATTCATCAGCTCATCAACAGAGTCCGTTGTCCAGCACTGAACAGTCTTAACAGCAGGTTTCTCCCTCTTCACTTTCTGACGATATTTTGGCAGCAGGTGGATGACGTTATGGTCAGACTGGCCGAGGGGTGGGCAACACCTGGCCACATACGCACCCTCCAAATTACCAAAACATTTATCAAGAATCTTGTCTTTTCGTGTCAGACAGGTCACATATTGTTCTAATTTCAGGAGATAAGTGGGAATATCACAACCATTAAAGTTGCCAAGTAGGAAGATTGGGTCATCCACAGAGTGACGTTGTGCCTTGGTGTAGCTGTCAGTTATGCGCTCAGCTGCTAAAGTGAAGTCCGGGCCGGGCACGTTGTATTATGAAATTCTTTATCAAAAGGGCTCGTGAACGGTCGGCACA